AAACCCCTATACACCCTAAACCCCTATACACCCTAAACCCTATAAGCCAAAAGAGCTGAGAGTATGGGATTCCCAAAGTATCCCAAAGTCCAGGTGCCGGGCCCCCCAAAGTTTCGCGTTTAGGGCTTTGGGGTTTGAGTTTAGGGTTTAGGGTTTAGGGTTTAGGGTTTAGGGCTTTGGGGTTATGTAGAGTTTAGGGTTTGTCTAGACTTTCCGTGGATTCGGCAGATCTGTTCGTATCATGGGCATAGTTTTCATACCTTTAAGATTCTTCAAACAGTGCATTTCAACCCACCTAATACCAGGAGCCCACATCCTTCCAACCCGAGAGCCTAAGTTGCAAAACCGAAAGCCTGAAGCTTAACTTTGCAAAGCAAAGCCAAAGAAGCCTCGTTGTTATAGTCTTACCTACCCTTCGTTTCGGACACACCCTAAACCCTAACCCCACCTCCCTGAATCTTGGTTTAGAGTATCGGGTTCGAGGGTTGGTTGGCATGAGTGCTTCTCGAAGGAACAGAATGAGTTCAGAGTTTCGGGTTCAGAGTCCATCCGGAACCCTATATCTATCGAATTTGTATGTATGTATGTACGTATATATATATATATATACAAGTATAAAACAATATACACATGCTGCACATGCATACATATGTATGTATGTATATACATGTGTATATACCCTAACCCCCGTACAAGCTAAACCCCACCTTCATTCCTTAACTAACCAAGACCCTAAACCCTAAACCATAAACCCTAAACTTATAAACCCTAAACCCTAAACCCTAAAACCTTAAAACCTCAAACCCAAAACCTGGCAGACCTAGCAACACCCAGAGCCTGAACTCGTCTTCCACTCTTTGGAGGAAGTCCGGGCCGCTGGACTTCTATTCTGTGCGGCCCTTCAGGACCGAATATGCCTTCAACGTAAGGGGCCCCATATTCTATATCTTTCTATAGAATGGGTAGATGGGGTCGGGTTTCTTAGAAGTCATGCTCGCCTTATTATTTAGGCATCCTTAAACAAAGGAGCCCGCTATTTGGGGTCTACGCTGGGGGTCCCTGTTTGGTGAAGCTCCCAGATAGCTACTCCTAAATCCAGAACCCTAAACCGTACCCAAAACGTTAGCTGTTGTATGGTTCATTTGGTCCTGGAGGTATCTCGCCTTGCCGCGTGCTGCGATGCAAGAAGGAATTCAATAGAGGAGCTTATCAATCGGGGTACACCATAGACACGTTTCACTCGTTATGAAAACAGTGTGAGGGTGGGAGCATACTCCTGTAGAAAGACAGAGCGAAGAACTGTCGAAGCTAGCTTTGGGCCCCAAAGTCTGCTTCAACCCAAGAAACTTGAGAAGATATATGGGGTTTCGGGCCTTTTTAGGGTTTATTTTTGTGGCGATAGTTTAGGGAGTTTAGAGCCTTCTAAAGTACGAACCGTAGATTACTAAACCCTAAACCCTAAACCCTAAACCTACTGATAGATCACTGAGCCTGCAACGCAGGTCTTGCAATGCCAGTTTTCTTAGGCGCAAGATGGCAGGCGATTGCAGTATGCCCAGCGATTTCTGATGACTGTCAGAACCTGTACATTATAGGATCTTTAAGGGAGGGTGGCTCAAGGGGGGAGGGTCCTAGGGAGCTTTAGGGAACCTAAGGGAGTACCAGGGAGAATTGGGGATTACTGGGTTATATACCCCTCTTTGAATCCCCTCCCTTAAGGATTCCATAATGTACACCCTAAGCCTTAAACTCTCATACGACCTAAACCCTTGACCCCAAAAGGCCCTTGCACCCTGCTCGAACCATACATAGTGTCTCCCCAGAGCCCTAGACCCTGAAACCTACAGCCTGAAGTCCTATAGCTCGAAGCCTTCAATCTTCAGCCGTTATCCCAAGGCCTCCTCCAACAGTCCGCGCCCTCGCGGCCTGGATTTAGGGTTAAGGTTTAGGGATTACCTGAACCCCAAAAGTATGTAGAAAAATTGCCTTTAATAGGTGTTGGGCCATTATTTTAGCTACTTTGGGGGTTTAAGGTATAGGGATACAGTAGCTTAGATGAGCTTAGAGCTAAGCAGACTCGGGGTCTACCTGTCGGGTAAACCTTGTTGGGGTACCATAGTCCTTATACAGCCCCACAGGTTAACCTTTAGTTCCCCTTGACTGGACAATCAAGCCAGGGGTTAAGGCTAAAGTTTAGGGTTTAGGGTTTAGGGTTGGGTTTTAGCTGCAGATTGCATGCTTAAGGTTCAGGGTATTGCTTTTCCGAACCATGTGAACCGAGCACATATATAGTATGTATAGAGCAGATACTAGGCAAATTTACCAACCCGAACCCTTGCAGCACCTCTAAATTCTAGGAGTGTCTGTTCGCACCTTACAAAAAGATTAACGTAGGTCCACGTAGGTTCAGGAATGAGCCATCAACATCAGACTTGGTTGGGCCGTTTACGCCAACATCAGGCGACGAAAGCGTCCTCCCTACGGTCACGATCGGCAGGCCACAATTTAAGCAAGGATCTTTGCTCTGAGCGCCGAGATCGAAGGTTCATCATGACCCACATCTTCTACAGGATCCCAGAGAGCCCAATACCCCTTAATTAAGGAATATACCTTAAATCATAATAATAAACCCTTTATGGTTTAAGGTATATTGCTTAATTAAGGGGTATTGGGCTCTCTGGGATTATTGACATAACAAGCACACAAACCCGAGACCCTGCGCCCTGAATGGCCTTCTCTGCAACTGAACCCAACCTCCCGAACCTAACACCCTAAAACCTAACCCCTAAAACCTAAACCCTAAAGCCTAAACCCTAAACCCTAAGCCCGAAACCCTAAACCCCAAACCCTCAATCCTTAAACCGGAAAACCTAAACCCTAAAACCTAAAGCCTAAACCCTAAAACTGAGATGTTCTCTTTCTTTGAACCCCCCCCCCCAACCTGACACCCCGAACCCCAAATCTCCGACCCCCAGCTCTACACCCCAAAATCCCCAAACCCCCCAAGCCCTAATCCTAGACCCTAAACCCCACCTGAACCCCAAAAGTATGTAGAATAATAGCTTGTCGTAGGTGTTGGGCCATGATTTTTACCTATTTTTTGGGGGTTTAAGCAAGCACTACACTTTCAACCCCACGCCCCTAAACCCTAAACCCCCTTAACCCTAAACCCCTAAACCCTAAACCATAAATTTCATCTCGGAGCTCAGGGAAGCTGGGACCCTTGTCAGCCTTGCCGAGAGTGTGCAGCCGCCCGCAACCTTTCAGCCGCTCCTCCGGGTTTAGGACTTTAGGGTTTAGGGGTTTAGGGTTTAGGGCTTAGGGTTTAGGGCTTAGGGTTTAGGGCTTAGGGTTTAGGGGGTGTAAATCCGAGGGCAAACCCCTACCCTAATAGGATTTAGAGCAGAATCGTAACAGGAACTCAGCTGATGCAGACTCAAAACAGCAAGCATGCCAGCATGGTCGTCGGGATACTGATCGTCATCATGAAAGTAAAACTGATGATCTCAGGCTGTGAAGAGCAGAAAGAAATCGATATTTATCGATTCATGTATCTTTCCGTATCCCGAAAAATTCTAGAACTTGCCGGAACCTGTCCGTATAAATTCCGTACCAGGGGTACGTAGAGTGAGGACCCTAAAAACCAAGTAGATCATGACATTTTACGTAGGTACATGTCGGCAGATGATGATTGGAGGAGCAGCTCAAAGTGGGTGCAGACCGGAGTGGGAGCATTGCGCACTTTTCCCAATGCTCGTTCGAGGGATCCTAGGGATACTTCGCGGTTCAGGGTTAGGGGTTTCGGCCTGAATGACTAGTACGCTAAACCCTAAACCCTAAAAAATGAACCCTAAACCCTGAACCCTATTGAGAATAGTACATCCCATGCAAGACCCGATTCGAGTCGTTCAGACGCCCCATGTGACTTCGCTAAATTAGGGGCCTCAATATCTACTAATACTATGTTGGGAGGGCTCTTTAGTCATAATTATAGTATAATCGGCCCCAAAACCTTATTCTAATTATTAAGGCCCCGATACTACCAAAACCCTTAAACCCTAAACCCTAAACCGGAGTTCTTGAGGATGTATGGTCCAATGTCCGATGTCTAGGGTAAGCCCTGTTGCAACAGTTCCAGAGCCTCGGACCAGGCCTTCACATTGCAATCCAACCACGCGCAGCTTGGTAAAGGGGTTTAGGGTTTAGGGTTTAGGCCCCTAATGCCTAAACCCTAAACCCTAAACCCTCCGAGTTTTGTCTTCTTGAGAGAGTTTCGTCGTAAACGAAAGTCGTGCTAGTAGTAGATCCCCAGCCCTTGTTCTAGCCCGACAGCCTACTCCCTAAACCCTATAAACCCTAAACCGACAGCCTACACCCTCCATCCACATGCTACATCTTAAGCCCCGAAGCTGCTAATGGATAGTTTCATAAGTTCCTCACGACATCATGGAAGCCCTATTAATATATGGGGACCTTAAGATTTACCTATACTTTTTTGCGG